CTAAAATGTTGGTGACATGACTCTGAAAAGAACAACTGTTATTTTAAACCTTTCCATTATAGTCAATTAGAACTAATGAATCATATTGTCACTTTCGAAAACCTGCAAATCAGAAATCCTATTTATGTTACATGTAATTGCAGGCTTCTGAGGACAGAACTGCAAGAGCTCACCTCACCAGTCTGGGGGAATGCTTTCATTCATGATTTCCTTCAGTCATTCATCCCCAGGCTCATATAGGGTTAATAGTAGTGCGCTCAGCAGCATGATGTGCAAGCGATGTGAAAGCCAGTCCAGGCTGTAAACTGATGGGACCACTCTGTGAAAACGGAGGTCTGGCAGGTGATGAGGCTGAGCTGGTCTCAGCCCTTGGCCTTCTGGAAAGAGTAGATTTAAACAAAAGCCCAAGAAATGTCTGTCTTGCACCCTCAGATCAGCTGGGAGAGCATCCAATGGAAAGGATGGGACCATCAGCTGGGGGATTCTTTTTTTTGGCCATCATTAATTCGTTGGTCCCTGACTGCTTGTGGCTGAACACATGGTGGTTGGACACCTGCTGAGCCCAGCGAGGAAGGGCCCTACCTGGACCACAGAGGACAGGAACCCATTAGCTTTCGGAAGGGACTCCTCTCCCGGTGTTGCTGTTGGCTGTGTGACTGCTCGCTGGAATGTGTTGCTCTGTCTGGACTTTATTGCATTATGCAAGCAATCGGTGTAATTTTAGAATTACAAAAAATATACAGTCCCCATTTCCTCCTATTGATGAAGACCATTTGTGTTTGTGTAAAGGGGACGGTCTGCCAGGAAGGAATGCAGAAAGGTGACAACGGGAAGGCGTAGCATCAGAGGACGTTTCCTTTCTTTCCTTCCAGCTCTTTTTTCATCTGGTTAAAGCTAACACTGGACTTCTGCTGAAATTTCAAATATTCTGCCTCATGAGTAAGGAGGCCCATTGCTCAAAAATGCCAAGTAAATACTAAATAAAGCAGCCAAGAAGACGGTCAGAAAATTGTATTTTGTACTGTAATGGTTGGGGCTATTTGGATGGATGAGAAAATAATGTAAAAATGGCAGGAAGGTGCATGAGAAATCAGAGATCACAGCTGTATCATGCATCCCCTGTTCTCAGAGTAGTGGATTGCAAAGAGCCTTCCCCCGTGCAACTGCAAAGTGTCTTCTCCCTTTGTTGCAAAGAGGCTCAGAACAGAGCCTAGGAAGGACTATTTTAATTAAAAATAAAAAAAAATAAATTACTATTTCCATGTGACACAAACCCGTGCAGGAAGATTGCCTTGCTTTCCTTTGGGGGCAGGCAGAGAGAGAGCAGCAGTTCCTAAAACTCCCTGGATTATTTTAAACTAGAGTTATATTTCACTTGGTTGTTTTTATTTCTATTTAAGGGGCAGGAGAAAGTAAGGGGTGTTACTATAAAAGGAGATTGGAGTATAATTCTTCTGCATTGGTTTTGCTTGGTGTGATTGCACCACTTTGGTAGAATAACCTCAGAATAACACACATGTAATGAAATGCAACCCCCAGACAAAGCTGTCGACAGGGCACATTTTCACTAGCTCCCTCTCTCATCCCTTCCTCCCTCCATCTCTCCCTCCCTTTTTGTCTTCTCCTGACTTGCCCTTTCTCTGCCCATTAGCTCAGCAAAATGCCTTCCAGTTGCAAGAAGCCAGGGCTCAGGTCTGAGCTCTCATTCTGCCTGCAAGAAGTGTGTTAGGAGGCCAAACCAAATTCCCTTTGGGCTGTCCCAGGACTCACTGAAATGTTTCTCTCGGTGGCAAATGCAAACAACTCCCTGGTGCAGAGTTGGCTTCACGTTTCCCTCACTCCATACTTCTGACCTTGCTCTCTGTCCTGGCCAGTCCCTGTCCATTCTGTGACTGGGGCCAAAAAAAGCGATCACACAGGACAAGGCTCTCAGAGCCATGCAGTGGAGGCTGAGGCTCTAGCTGCCTCTCCATCCCGAAGCCCATAGATGTCAAACCCTGAAACCAGAGACAGGAACTAGCTCATAGCTCTGGTAGTGAAATGCATTCCTTTTCCAAGCAAGAAATACGCACAGTTCACCCTACAACTGGGAGAACTGGTTGTTTGGAATAATATTTGTTCTGAACTCATTTCCTTTGGGAGTTTGCAAACAATCCATCGCTGCATCCTGGATCCAGCAAACACCGTCATTATACAAGCATTTCACAATGCAAGTCAGCCTCTTGGTGGAGAGCTGCTGACTTTGACTCGATGCTGTATGACAAAGTTCGCTTTTTGGAATAGTTAACAGATACTTTTGAAATGGGGTTGGGGAGCAAATGAGATGCATTTCAGGCTCACCCTTGGATGGGTAACCAACCATGGCAAAATACATGTCTTATTTCACTGGTAATGCCAAATACTTCATGAGCATTTACTAATAAGGCCCCGTTAGTCAAAGTAAACAAAATTAGACTTCTTATCCATAGATCACAGTGACTTCTCACTGTGTGGCCATGTCCCTTCTGAAAACCACCCTGCCTGCTGCAGGCAGGTGTGGTCCAGCCTCAGCATTAGCTCCGTTTAATTTCCCCTCCGGCTCATCCTGCTGACAGACGGCAGCTCTAAATGGAAAACGGTTTCAGTGTTCATCAGAGGAGTAACAGTGTCCTAAGCTGAACTGAGAGGGAAAAGAGGCCAGCAGTGCTGCAATTAGTTACCTGGCTTCACGCAGGTGTCAAAGCAGCATCCAGGCGCTCTCCTTCCAAAGCTGGGGACCAAGCGTATCCCAGCAGCTCTGCACCCATCGTCTTGGTGCTTGGCACAAACAGAGTTTGAGAAACTGGTTATTTTGTTAGCCCCTCCAAGGCTTTGAGGACTTGCAGGAAAACTTCCTGACAGTGCAGTTTTGTTGAGCTGCAGTGACATCCAGTGGCTGTTCCCGATGGACCTCTTCAGGCTGAGCTTGCGTTTCTGCCAGCATCCCTTCACATCTGGCATGGAAAAATGCAGATTTTTCTCAATGCAGAGCAGAGCAGCAGGTGAGGAGGCAGCGATCTGCTTGGGATCTTGGTACTGATCTCATAAAGCTTCTGCTGTCCTTTAAAGCAGAAGAGAGATGCTGTATTTTTACCTGCAGATGTATTTCAAATCCTTAGGAATTTGCTTTTTGTATACTCCTCACTGTTTGCAAGCTCTTATCAACAAAGAATCCCTGTGCAAAGCCTTCCACAGACAGACAACAGAAACCTCGGCCACAAAGAAGTGTCTACAACATAGCTAGAATTTATCAAAATAAGGGAAAATCCACAGAGGTTCTTTCAACCCTATTGTTTGCTTTTTAATAAAAGTCCTGTCTTGCTAATGTTTAACTGTCTCGTAATCTAGGCAGGAAAAGGCCCAACATGTGGAGGATGGGAACAGTCATCCCAGCAGCTTTCCTGTACTTTGGCAGCTGTAGGTATTTCGTAGGCACCATTGCAACAATAAAAAGTCATAAAAAGCCCACGAAAGGACGATAGTGCTGCTGTTCTCAGCGATTAAGAGCCTTTTTTGCATTTCCAGAGAAAAGCAGGCAGGGTGTGTGAAGGTGTACAGCAGAAGCAGGGACCGATGGCTGCATGTGTTGACAGAGCAATGGTTGGAACCAAAATTAGGGTACAGCAGGAGGTCCCGATGGTGGGATTCACTGGGATCTACTGGGATCATCAGGAGTGGAGCTGGCACAGAGGGCAAGACTGCAGGTTTCAAAGCATGAGATGATCAGATCTAGGAAATAGCCGAGTCCTCTCTCCTCTTGCCCCCTTGGACCTTTTGAGCGGATTTAGCATAAAAATAATCCTTGTATGTGTGCTTTACACTCTCTGTTTTGTGTTTGCCCATCCCTTCAGGAACCAGTGAAGACCTATTCCAGGACTCTGAGGGGCGGGAGGGATCTGAGCCAATTGAGGAACACCAGTTTTCGGACCTAGAGGAATCTGACGATGACGATGACAATGAAGATGAGGAAGATGAGGAGGAAGAGGAGAGCCAAGATGAGCCATCTTTAAAGCTGCCGGAAGGCAAACATACCACCCTCCCGATGCACTCTTCAGGTGGCTCTCCATCTTCTCAAGAGGAAGGCACTGAAATAGCATTGTCCTTAGCCCAAGAAACTGTTTCCAGCAGCCAAAAAGTAGGTGAAGGCCAGCAAGCCTCCTCTTCAGGGCTGGAAAAAAAGTGGTCAGCAGACAGCAGTGACATTGCTGTGTGCCACAGCTTCTTGAGTCTCCACAGACCAGCTTTGACCTCCACCGAACAATTGGCTTCTGCTGAAAGAGAGTCTGTCACAAGGCCACAGATGTCCTTAGTTATGGACCTGTCAACCTCAAAAGACACCTCCCCAAGAAAAAGGTGGTCTCCGAGCCAGGACTCTGGCAGAGGTGGTGGCAGCAGCAGACCAATGCTAGCAAGAAAGCACCTATTAACCAAAAATGAAACTTCACCGAAACGGTTTTCACCAACTGGAGAACTGTCTTCTCTAAGGTGCCTGTCTCCAGGGAGGGGGTTATCTCCTTGCCAGCGTGTCTCTCCCAGGAGGGAGGCATCTCCACTGAGATGTGTGTCACCAAGACTTGAGCTGTCACCCAGCAGGCATCTTTCCCCCAGAAGAGAGCTGTCCCCAAGAACATACCTTCCACCAGAAAGAGAAGTCTCCCCTGTGAGGCACTCGTCGCCGAGTAGAGAGATGTCATCAGTCAGATATTTATCACTGAAGAAAGTCTTGTCTCCAGGCTGTTCAGAATCGTCTAGGTATCCATCCCCTGGGAAAGAGGACTTGCCTGGTACTAGCAAAACAGCAGCAGATGACAAAGTTCAAAGCTCATATCAAGCCCAGCATGGGATATTATCTTCGATGCCTCTACCTCACAGGTTCTTTGGCAAAAACATACAGCTCTACGAGTCCAAGCTGGTAAGTTTAAGCCCCTCTTGTCTTCTAGTACCTGCAGTACGTTTTCTGATATGTTTTTTAATGAAATTTGCAATGCAGAAGTGCACAGTGACTCTGCCTGTGACCGCTGTCACAGGTAACCCAGAGAAAAGTGACAGCGGACAGCAATGGGTTTCGCACCCATTTTGATCCTGCCCATCTTTTCCCTGGGAGTTTCATACCCATTTCTAAGATTTTACCAGCTGGGGTGAAGCTGTGACCATTTTGCACCGGTCAGTGACCTGAACTGGATCTGAACTAACCATTGCACTCTATTGCTGACTCCTGGGCTACGTACATATGCAGACAACTCTGTTTTAGATTCACTGCTGTGAAATGTTTGTTTGGACGCCTCTGCTTTCATCTCGCTTCTCTCTTCAGCAGAGAGAGGTGTTTCCCACTGGGTCCAGAAAATTATTTAATCTCTCTGCAGGACATATCAAATCCTATGGGTAAAGGAAAATTGCATGTTCATCCCACTGCTACAGGCAAATTAGGTGTCGAGTTTGGTGGAAGGTTTCCCATTTCTACTGAAGTGCTTGGCTCTCCTGTAATTTATGCTGATGAACGTGAGATTCAGGTGCTGGAGTTGCCCTGCTGTAAAACTGGTGTGAGGAGAGACTCGAGCCCTTCGGGCCTGCACTGGGAAAAGAGAGGCCTTTATACAACCGCTGGAGAACCTGCCATGGCAGATGCTGACCCAGGTCTTCTCCAGAAAAGCTACGCTGCCCAGCATGTGTTTCTTCCATGTCTATGATAACGTACATCTTTTGGTGCTTCCTTCCTTCTGCTTTCCAGTATGAGTGTTTGTCTTACCTTCTCAAGACTATCCTGTATTTTAGGTCCAAACTTTTGCTTACTTTAATGCTATTTCCCTTTCCAGTTAAGTAACTTCTTGTGGTGAATCTCAGGGCTGTGGAAACCCTGGTCCTTCAACTCTAAAGCGTCTTTGTCAGGAAAACTGCCCACTGCCACTACTTGTAATAAATGCCCTAAGCTCCCTGGTCTACAGTAGGAGACAATCTCGTATACCCCTGCTCATTTGCCCATTCACACCTTTTAACTTGTGCTCTCAGACACAGACCTTTTTGCTCCATTCTCCTGCTCCTTTTATACACTCAAAGTCACCACTGTTGCTTTGCTCATGTACCTCCAAAGCAACAGCAAAGACCTGAATGACAAACTTTCCATTTGTCAGCGAGATGGACAGCTGGACTTTCATTGCAAAATTACATTCCTGGTAAAGCTACAAGAGACAGAAAGATCAGAGGTGGATTTATCAGATCCCAAACAGAGCTCTATACTCAAAACTGGTGACCTATGCATTGCTTAGAAACTTGGAGACAATCTTAGCTTAGCTTCGGTGTAAGGCTTTCTGCCAAGTCTGCGCATCAGGCCTGACCACAACCATCTCTCTTCCCACTGGCTTTTGCAGTAGGTAGTCTGTCCTTCTGGTGGCTGTTGCACCCTTGAGATGATTTGTTTGGGGGGTTTCCCAGCATCCCAGCATAGTGATGCTGCCAAGACTTCGTGTGGATAAGTGAGATTTAGCAAGTGTTTGGGCTTGCGTATGCTGTCTTCAGTGGCTCTTGCTTTCTCTCTCTTCTGTTCTCTTTTGCTGCTTTCCTCTGTGGCCTCTTCATACAGAACCAGCTCGCAGGGTCAGGCAATTCTCCATAATCTACAGAGAAATGTGCCCTCCAGTGGATCCTCAAATTTTATAGCTAACTCCATCTTAATGGAAAGTTGATTTCAGTTTCTGTTGCTTCCTCTTCTTGGGAGTCCTTTTTAGGGGTTTAGTTATAACTTCATCACTAATTAATCCATTTCTGTTTAGCCACATGTCTCCCCATGATGTACATTAGGAAACTATGTGAAGCACCGAGAGAGAAAGAGGAAAAGGTAAAATGGTAGGGTCTTAACCCTTGATTTCTACAGACAACACTGTGAGGGTAGTGGTGGGGACTACGCTGATGAGTGTGTCAAACGAGAGTTAATGCTATCTCTCACTCGCTCCAAAACATCCTTGCAATCAGCAACTGTAAGGACGTAATCAATCCTGCTTTAAGAAAGTACAGTAAAAATAAATAACATTATTCTGGGGTCTCGGAAACCCCATGTACTGAAAGAGATCCAAAGCAGCGTGAGTGGCAGGAAACATGGGCGTCCTCTGCCAGGGTTTCAGAGGCAACTCTGATAATAGGACAAGGGCTAATGTTTTTAAACTACAAGAGGGTAGATTCAGACTATATATAAGGGAGAAATTTTTTAGGATGAGGGTGGTGAAACACTGGCACAGGTTGCCCAGAGAGGTCGTAGATGCCCCATCCCCGGAAACATTCAAGGTCAGGTTGGATGGGGCTCTGAGCCACCTGGTCTTGTTGAAGATGTCCCTGCTCATTGCAGGGGGGTTGGAGTAGGTGACCTTTAAAGGTGCCTTCCAACCCAAACTATTCTATGATTTTTATAATGGTCCAAGCCTGAACCAAAGCCCTGGATCTGTGCCCCAACAGATTGTGGGCATAGTTGTACCCGGAAGACAAACGCTGTGGGTTGTGTTGCTCCTTACCTTAAAGTTCTGGGGGTCCAAATCTGCCTTGGTTGATCGATTTCCCTCAAATTAGAATAAAATATTAACAAAACCAATCCTTATAGTGAACATTAATGATACTAATGCTGTAACTTGTTCATTGCACTGATTCAGCTGTTTCTTTTCCCTTTCCGGTGCAGAAGATAGAACCACGAAGCCCAACATGCTCACCTGGCATCACGCAGCCTGTTTGCTCCAGACCCTTGCAGGCACCTCATGAAATACACCTCCACGCTCCCAGCCGAGGGGAGGAGAATGTCTTCAGCCATCTCCCGTTGCATTCACAGCAGCTCACAAGGACCCCGTATCCTATGATTCCCATTGGGGGCATCCAGATGGTCCAGGCGAGGCCAAGCACCCATCCCAGCTTGGTGCCCAGTTCAGTTGTGTCCCTACAAGCAGGATACTTTGCCTCTGGTGGCAGTGGCTTCGCAGAGTTCAGCCGAGCTCCCAGGAACCGCAGGTCCCGCAGGAGCCGTCATCCGCATCCGTCTCCCCGGTTGCAAAGGTTTCTAAATACACACTGTCCCCGGAGCTTATGAGCAGTGGTTACTTAGAAGAGAAAATGAGGACTAGTGAGCTTCAGCAAAAGACAGACCAGGAGGAATACAGGGTAAAAATATTTGCTGAGTTTAGCCACACGGAGCAGGCAGGCTGCTCGGCATCCCCAGCCAGCCCCAGCACAACCGACGAGCACCCTCCAAAGCCTTCAACAAGCGGGGAAGAACCCTTGAAAAAAACGGGCAAGAAGCAATCTGGCAGCTCGAGCACTTCTTTTGAATCATCTTGCACTTTCATCTCAGATCTCCCCTCCCAGCCGTTGGACCGAAGCAGCAGCACTGGCTGCCTCTCAGAGCCCTCATCGAGCCATTCGCACGCCCAGCCGTTCTCCATCCGGAGGAGAAACCTCTCCGGAGAGCCCAGTTGCCAAGGGGGAACCTCCAGGAAGAGCAGTCCACAGCTAGAGCATGCAGATTTAGGTCAAACTCAAAAAAAGGTGGATGAAAACACGGGAAGTACTTAAGCCTCCACCATCTGTTCCGCCTTTAGGCTTCCTATGTAAAATCAACAGACATTTTCAACACTATTTCCTTTAGTATAATCATTGCTATAAGAAGCACTCTAGTGAATGACCAAACCCATGGAAGATTCCTGGTTTTCTTTGTCCCAGTCTGGTATTATCTCCACATGTATGCAGTTACTTGTGCCTTTTTCTATACCTTTTGTTGCTTGAAATGTACAAAACTGTTTGAGGCTGTGAATATTTTTTTAGAGTTTTTTGGAAAGGGGTTTGTTAGACCTTGTCTTTTTTGCCATTTAGGTGTGCGTAATTATGGGCCTGAGAGATGCAGAAAGGAAAGGGTTAAGCATTTTAAGAGGAAGAAGATGCACTGAAAACAAAAACAAAACAGAAAAACTTTTTTATATTGATTAAATGATTAAAAAAAAAAAAACCAAACCCTTGCTCCTGTGTACAGAAGTTTATGATTCGTATTTATTACATGCTTTATTTAATTCTCGCAAAGTGCTTGTTTTTTTTTTTCTCGCATCCCTCTGATTGCCTATGGTTGTGCTTTAAAGAGTTGAGACTGCTTTACATTTGAAAAACATGTTTACCCTGAACTTGTAAATGAAACTAGCACTTCCTTGAGTAGGGGGAGGTTTGTTCGCAGCGAGAGAAATTGTCACTCAAAAAAGAAAATGAATCTTGAGCAGCCTTCCCTCCTGCAGAACCCATCAAAGCACTTTTCTAAAAAGGGACAAAAAAAGGTTCTTCTTCAAAGATTTAACTGCAAGAGCATAGGAATGTACCGAATGTAGACCCAGTGCCAGGAATGGTGTCTCTCGCTGGACGAGCCGGCCTCCTGCTTGCTTTAATCCTTCCATCCCGCGACCGCTCCCCGTGCGCAACGGCCGCTCCGCGGTGCCCCCTGCATCGCCCCGGCAAAGTCATGCCTGTGCCTGAGAGCCCCTCTTTTCTGGGGTTTGGAAGCCCTCTGTAAACACCCTCCCTTGGTTTAAAAGTCAAAGTCAACTCAGCCTTGCAACCATTTTTCCTCCGTCATTTTTTAGTTGCGGACAAGCTCCCTCCATCCCATCCCCACTCGGTCCTGGCTGGTTTGGCTTTGTTGAGCTCTAGGGATGCAGGAGTAGTTTGTGCTCTGCTCGTTTGCACGCCTGCGGCTCTGTAACTCACAAGTGACTCTGTGTCTTATTTTAATTTTATTTATTTATTTAAGCGGAACATTGCAAACGTAGTTCTTATTGTGCAGATGGGCCCTTTTTTGGTGTTTTGGAAGAAAAAAGTTGTGATGCTGCGTGGTTAATGTTTGCAGTCAGCTTGTTATGCATGCACAGTAACTTTTTCCAGAGCAAACTTTTAACTATGACTATCCGTAGCAGAGCAATGGCCTCTACTGCCAATAGATACGATGATACCAAATACAGAGAGACCTGATGGAGCCATTCCTCTCTGTCACGTTAACATACTTTTTAAAATACAAATGTTCGATACAGGTTTGCCCTAGCAGACAGCAGGCTCTTTACTATTTCAGAGGGTTTTCTGGTCTATGGAATCTGTACAAACCTCTTTTTTTTTTTTATTTTAACAACAACAAAAAAAAAGATATAAATATTTAACCAGTGGACCAGTTCTTTCTTCTTTCAGAACTGTTCCAGTTTATCGGGTACGTAATACACTTTTTAATAAAATAAAAAAAATTAAAAGAAATCAAATAAAATCCTGAATGAGAACATATTTCCTTGCCAGACTTGATGAGCTATGAACTGTTCCCGTTTCACGGGCAAATAATATACATTTTTTAATAATCTTCTGTGATTTTTTTTTTTTTTTTTTTGCTTTTCTTGTAAAGGGAATTAAGTCAAAAAGAAGATATCATGGAAATAACA